AAGTAAGTAGAAATAACGACGTGGACAGAATTCCGGAGACTTAACTTATATCCACTTTTGTGAGTAACTGTAATTTTGTTATCGAGCATCTGTTTTTCAGTCAGACCATCTCTCCGTTTTCACACGTTGAAATGAGAAATAAGTACAAATGACACAGCGTCCACGTCCGCATCGAGAGTCGCCGCGTGGTCCCAAGTTGGCGCCGTCTTTCATTCCGAATGATCCACCTGTTCCCGTTGTCTGTTCTGTCCGCCAGGTTTGAAAACCATTGTCGGCGCTGTGATAGAATCCGTGAAGAACCTGCGCGATGTGATAATCCTGACGATGTTCTCTCTTTCCGTCTTTGCGCTGATGGGCCTCCAGATTTACATGGGGGTGCTCACGCAAAAGTGTATAAAGAACTTTCCCAAGGACGGCTCCTGGGGCAATCTCACCGACGAGAACTGGGAGCGATTTGTTAGTAACGAAAGTATGTAACTCAATCGTTGTTTTACAAAACAGATGACAATTTTTAATTTACACTCGAGTTCCTTTTTAATTGTATTTCCATCGCTTTTAATTCGTAATTTATTCAATTGTTATCTTGTTTATTAGCCAATTGGTACGTGGACGATGCGAAAAACATGCCTCTGTGTGGAAATTCATCTGGAGCAGGGTAACTCGAATTCTTTTTTTTTTATTCACGCACCGATCGGATTCTTTGCTGAAAAATAATTGAGCCGTTCAGTGCACACATTGATTAACTCCACTATTTGAAAAATCTTAAATTTATGTGTCAAAGCACAAGTTATGATTATACCAAGTGCTTTGACACGTAAATTTAAGATATTTCAAAAAGTGGAGTTAATCGATGTGTGCCTTGAACGGCTCAATTATGAAACGTCTTCTGGGGAAGAATTAGCACGGAAAACCCATGGAATTCGACCGGGAAAGAAGGGATTTCTCGATATTTAGACGAAATCGTGCCGAATTTAGTCATTTTCAGCTGTTTCTCACTTTATTTCGCATTAATTAAAATTGTACGTATCAGACACGTTTGAAACAGATGAAAGGAAAAGAATTATCACGAAAAACCAATAAAATTCGAACGGGAAAGAAGGAATTTCTCGATATTTAGACGAAATTGCGTCGAATTAGTTATATCGAAATAGTTATTTTCAACTGTTTCTCGCTTTATTTCACATAAATTAAAATTGTACAGCTAGTAACAACGAAATTGAGCCAGCCACGTGCATGTGTTAGTTTCTCCTAGAGGGACAAAATTCAAAACGAATAATAAGTATTATCTTATTTTTTCGATGCTTGATCTGACTATCGGATTTTATTATAATTTTGACGCGTCAAAATAAAAAGAATTTTAATGTAGGTGGTGGTAATGTGTGTACGTT